CCCGGGACCACACAGCCTTCAGGCACACGATTCTGGCCTCTGCCACAGTCCTCCCGACCTCTAATTAGCTCCTTGTTCTAGGCCAGGCAGTCCTTCCCTGGCTCAGGGGTGGGACATACCTGGGGCCATGGCAACCTTGTCTTTCTGCTCCAGGATGGCCCTGCCATCAAAGGTCACAGCAGGTAGCATGCGCTGCTCAAACATGATCACGTTGTTGGGGTCCAGGTGGAAGAAGTCATGCTCCTTGAAGAACTTGGCCGTGGGCCCCAGCGTGAACTCACTCGTCATGATGTACCTTCAAGGGGAGGCAAGGCTGAGCAGGCCAGGGTGCGACAGGGGCTGGCCCTGGAGTCCGGGTCTGGGTGTGGGACAGGGTTGGTGCTACAGGGGCAGGGGGTCATTCTGGGGACAAGGTAATGCAGAGGAGGCACACCAGGGGATGGTGCAGCGGGTCCCATGGCGCTGGCCAGCAAGCTGCTCCACCCGCTGAATCCGTTCCGCCTGCAGCTGATACAGGGTCTTCTGGCTGGGCAGCCCCACCTGGTACATGCCTTTGGGGTAGGTCACGCCCAGGCGAGTGCCCTGCCCCCCAGCCAGTAGCAGCACGGCCACCTTGTTCAGGGCGATCTGGCGGAAACCTGGAGGTGCAGGGTGCCATGAGGGGGACACCTGGGACCTGCCACACAACCCCCCCTTCACCTGAGAGCAAGCCACACTTGGGTCTAGGACTCTAAGACTTCTGACAGCCACAGAACAGAAACTTCCAAATAACATTCTGACCCGCTGTGGCCCAGGGCCCCACCCACGCCCCACCTTGTCCGGACCCATCAGGGGTCCTGATGACGTCCTCCAGGGTTCATTCCCAGCCTGGGTCCTTCAGAAGGAACACCAGGTCAGGCTGGTCAGAGCAGTGCAGTGGGGGCCCTGGGCAGGCGTCCCTCCAGGAGCACCTGCCTCACCTGCGAGGCCACGAGGCCAAGAGTGCACCTGGGCCAGCGCTGATGTGAAAGGGAGCGAGTGCAATTGCGCAAGGGTTCCCCGCGGTCAGTACGCCCGCGGGCTGGGCTGCTGTTTAGACAGGTGCACCTGCACAAAGCGCTCTCTCCCGAGGGCAAGCCTCCCGGGGGCGGCCACCACCGTGGCGCGTTTGTAGCCCCACACCCCAGTCGCGAGCTGCGAGTGAAAGGGGACTCCACAAAGGAAGGAGGCACGCTAAACTCCTCCAAGTACAACGTCTCCTGTCACCCACTTGGGGCCGGGCCCCCTCCGCCGGCCAGGCCCGCCCCGCCTACCTTCCTCCTCCCAGAGCCGCCGCATCTCCGGGTCGCACCGGCTCGCGCTGCCCACGCACTCGGGGGGCAGGGGCCGCAGGCGCGCGGCCAGGCCGGGCGGCGGGCCCGGGGGGTGCGCGCAGGCCGCAGCCGCGCGCTGACAGTGCTCGCGCAGCGCCTCCGGCTCCAGCGCCCCCAGCTCGGCCAGGAGGGCGGCGCGCGGCCCCGGCGCCAGCTCGGCGCAGAAGCGCAGCAGGTGTTCCTGGCCAGCGCGCTGCAGCCGGGCGCGCACATCCCGCTCCGAAGCCATGTCGCCGCTGTCGGCCGCGCGAGTACTCGTGACCCGCGCGCTCCTACGGGCGTCACGGGACCCGGCGGGCGGTGACGGCCCCAGAGAGGCGGGACCAGGGCGCCCCGCCTCGACCCCGCCTCCGAGCGCCCCGCCCCTCTCCGCTCGGCCGCGGCCCGCCAGCTCCGGGGCCTCGCCGGCCGCAGGACACGGAGGGGCCGAGTCAGGGCGCTGGGACGCCTGAGGCATGGGGCCCGGGGCGCCCCGAGTCGGGAAGCCCCCTCACGGGATCTGCGACGCCCCTGGCCCGGGCGCGTGAGGGCTGACTTCAGCTCTAATGCACCCCTTTCTGGACCCACAGCGCTGACGGTCAGGACACCTGAGGGGGAGGCTAGGGTCTGTCCCTGCACGTGGCCATTGGCACTGACCAAGACTCCTGGCGGCTGGGCTGGGGAGGATAGAGCCAGATCAACAGTAGGCCCCGGCGTCTGGATGCCAGCAAGGACTCCCAAGAAGGCCACTCTGCATCCTTGGGGGCTCCCTCCTTCACATCCCCCCTCCTCATTGCCATGTAACCAGAACCGCTCAGGAGCAGCCCTTGGCCCTGCCATGTTATATTAACTATCCGAGTTTCATATATCTTGATGTTTATTAAAAAATATATAGATCGATAGATATAGATATCCTGCTGTTTATAAACTCCCTTAGTGAAAAATAGTGAGTAGCTTTGGCCATTTTGGGACAAAGCTTTCTCCTAGAAATTAGTTTTATTAAGTCTAAAAGTAATACATGTTCAAGGGTAAAACAAATTCAAATGGCACTTTGGGACCTGAAAGGAAAAGTAACATCTCTCTCAGGCCTGCCCCAGCTAACCCCTGTTAGGGCAATTGTGTGTCTTTGCAGGCAGGTTCTGCACAGAGACTCCCACATACCCCCTTCCTGGGTTAGGAAGCAGAGCTTCCCACCACCCCCCTGGGGGCCCACTCTAAGTCCTGGTGGACCTGAAAGAAGTTATCTTCCAAGGGTAGCCTTAGGCCTGCCACAGGGCCTTTGCACTTCCTGTTCCTCCGGCCTGGACTACTCCCAGGTCATGTTGGCTCAGAGAGCACCCTCACATTCGTCTCTGTTCCTTCCTGCCTTTCTGCATTCTCTGTTGCCCGGGTTCCCCAAGGAAAGGAAACTCCAGGAGAGCTGGAGGTAGTTTGGTTCACTGCTCTGCCCCATCACCTTAGATCATTGCCCAGCACACGGTAGGTACTCAGTACATGTTTGTTGAATGAATGAATGAGTGTTGGATCCCACACCTAGCTCAGTGACTGGGCCACATCAAGTATTCAGGGAGTGCTTGCTGAATGAGTGAATGAATCTATGAATGGCCTGCTTCACTAGTTTGTGGTAGTTGAAGGGCACATGTTAGAGACGGAGGGTGAGCATGGGAGGGAGGGAGGGAGCCCAGAAGCAGAGTGGGCTCCGCACCCCAGGCCAGAGTCCATGGAAACTCTCACCCCCCGCACATGTGCCCTTGAAGGCAGGTGTCCCAAGAACTCAGAGTTCATCTCAGAGAGACCCCCAAATCTCGCTTCAAGATGGGGGGAGGGGCTGAGATCAGAAGGGTTTGGACAGTTGAGGCTGGGTAGCCAGAGGCACCTGAAGAGCAAGAGTAGGGGAGCTGGCCCACCTGGGCAGACAGGTGGGGGTGTCAGCGAGGGAGAAGTGAGCAACAAGCTCCTGGACAACCCGGCAAAGGCGGGCTTGTGACCCAGGAATCATCTTTCTTGTGCCCTAGGGCTTCATCCAAAGGGTTCAGGGGAGCCAGGGTCCAGAGGCCAGCATGCGTCCCCGGCTGTTACTACGGGATGGAGGCCAGAGAACCTGTGCAGACGCAGGGACTGTGTGAGGCTGGGGACAGAGGGCCCCACCATCCACCTCCAGGGAGCTCCAACCTGGCACAGTGAGAACATAATTACAACTGGGGCCGGCACCTCAAAACCACAGGGCCCCACTTGGTCTGGGGCTCTGGGAAGCCCCTGGGGGTGACAGCAACACTGAAAGATACAGAGCTAGGAAAGTGTTGGGCCAGGCTGGAAAGTGGGGTAGAAGGAGGAAGTGGTCAGAATTCAGGACGGGAAGTACAGGGGACCACGCCCTAGTCCCACACCCGGAGCTGGTACCGACTCCAGTGTCTCCATGCCTTCCACCAGTGCCTAGCCGGGGAAGCCCACCAGGAAGCCCACAGACCGAGGGCCTCCTCCCCCACAGTTCCTGATGCTCTGAGAAGGCCTTGTTCTCTCTGTGCGGTGGGCTCAGGTTTACAGGGGCCTGGCCTGGGTGCTGCTGGCCATGCTGTCCTGCTGTCCTGAGCTGTTGCTGGCCGCTGGCACGAACTCCCATGGAGCTGTCTGCAGGCCTCCCCATCCCACCCGAGGGTGGCGTTTCCACAGGATGGGGCTTCCCATGTGTGGGCCACCCACTAAGCCTCCACTGTGGGCCAGACTCATGCTAGGCCACGGGGCGGCCCTGTCCTGCTTCCAGAAAGCACAGGGAGGGACTCATGGGGACAGAAGCACCATCACTAGAAGGCAGCCTCATGCTTTGAAGATCAGGACTATAACTTCCAAGCTGTGGGTCAGGTACCTGAGTGGAGTTTCAAAGGATGCAGAGGGATCAGCCTGGAGCAGACAGGCAAAGGTGTTCCTGGTGGGAGAGCTACCATGTGCAAGGGCCCAAGGTGAGGGACTGCTGGGTACCCTAAGGATGAGGGACCAGGCAGGGTGTGCTGGAAGGGGAGTAGGAGGGGGAGATGAACTGCAGGACAAACAGCTTGAATGCTGGGACTTTGGCTGGTTCTGCCACTAAAGGGGAAGGGAGGGATGGATCAGGCTCCATGGGGAAACGCCAGGCTCACAGCTTTCTAGGTCTTTCCAAAATTCCTTACCACAACGGAGCCCCAACTTTGAGGGCTATGAAATTAATAAAGGGAAGCCTCATTTAGAATGGAGTCAGGAAGCCCTGACCGGGGGAACTCTCCTGAACATAGCACCTGTCCCAGCTGACCTCACATTCCTGGGCAGGAAGAAATTCATTTTACTACCCTAACAGGAAGAAGTTCTCTTCTTGAAGAGACAGCAGGCTAAGCTCCAGCCCCCTCCCAGACTGGCCAGACAGAAGGACGGGATCCTGGCTGGAAATGAAGCAGGGGCCGCTGGGGACACAGGGCTGCCGGCTGGCCTGCAGAGGCTGTGAGAGTCAGGGAGAAGCTGCAGGAAGTGTCCAGCCAGAGGAAGAGGCTGGGGCAGAGGACTTTGGAAGCAGAGGAGAGCGGGTCACCAGATGGAGATCTGGGGACACAGGAAAAAGTGGCTTTGTCCTGCAGTAGGCAGGAAAGGCCAGGCCGTCCCCAGGGACAAGGGGAGGAGCCAGCAGCACTGTGGACAGAGAGGCCTCTGTGACGGGAAGCGCCCAGCTGGCTGGAGCCCACGGTCCTCTTGGGACTTTCCCGGTAAATGGGCCCCAGAGTCGGGGTGCCTGGGCCAGGGGACCCCGAGTAGGGGGCGAAGAGCCCCCAGGGAGCCAGGCGGAGAAGGTAAATCCCTGGAGCAGGTGTGCCCCCCATCCTTACCCCCACGAGGCCACCGGGGACAGGTTTTCCGTAGGGCCCCAGGCCCCGCCCCTCGGAGAGGGCCGAACCGCCGCGAGAGGGCTGCCGGTGGCGGGGGGAGCAGAACGGGGTCCGCTCGGGCCTCTCTCCCCCACCCGCGAGGCCGAGGGGGGCCGAGTTGCGGGACCCCGCCCCCCCTCCCCGCCGGTCCCGGGCCGCTGCGCATCCCCGGCCGCAGCCGGCACGGCGGCGGGAGCGCGCGGGGCGGGGCCCTCGGCGGAAAATCAAACCGGGCTGGCGGCCTCTCAGCCAATCCGGGAGCAGACGGGCCGGCTTCGGCCAATGGCCGCCGCGAATGCTAATGAGCGCTGACGCCACGAGGAGGGTCCATTCAAAAAGTCGCAGCTATTGTCGCGGCGCGTTGCGCGCGCCGGCCGGGCCCCGCCGTCGGGCCGCGCGGGGACGGAGCCGAGGACCGAGCCGGGGACTGAGCCCGGCGGCGGCCGCCCATGGCCGGAGCCGCGATGGCCGAGCCGGGCCGCGGGCCCCCCGCCGCGCCCGCGCCGGGCACCGAGGGGCTGCCGCGCGCCTTCCTGCAGAGCCTGCGCACCCTCTTCGACATCCTGGACGACCGGCGGCGCGGCTGCGTGCACCTGCGCGAGATCGAGTCCCGCTGGCAGGGCGCTGACGCGCGCGAGTTACCCCGCGGCGTGCTCGAGGGCCTGCGCCAGGTGGCCCCGGCCAGCGGCTACCTGACCTTCGAGCGCTTCGTGGCTGGCCTGCGCACCTCGCTGCCGAGCGCCGACGGCGGCCCGCGGGGCCAGGCCCGCGCCCCGGCCCGGGAAGGCTGCCCCGCGCGGCCCGGGGTTCAGCAGCCGCCGCCGCCGCCGCGCCTGGTGTTCGCGCCGGCCGACGAGCCGCGGACCGTCCTGGAGAGGAAGCCCCTACCCCTGGGCTCGCGGCCTCCGCCGACCGTCCCCGGCGGCGCGGCCCGCAGCCTGGAGAAGCTGTGCGGGCCAGCAGAGGCAGCGCCCGGTTCCGCGGAGCCCGAGCGGCCCCAGGGCGCGGCGCTGGAGCGCAGCCCGAGCGCGGACTCTGGTGAGTGCGGGGCGGCTTCCACTTAGAGCTGCCCGCCTCCCCCGACCCCCGCGACCTGCGCCTCAGGCCAGGCGCCTCTCCTACCGCGGGGGACGGGGGCGGGCAGCTCTAAGTGGCCCCAAGGGCCGTCAGCGCCTGGAGGGAAGGGGCCCTCTCGCCTTCCCCGGTGTGCTCCGCGGCCGGAGGCAGGCCAACCCCTCCCCCGCCACCGTGGGAGGCTACCAGGGCCAAGGGGCGGGTGGGTGACTCCAGACCCCACCAGGAAGTCGCCCTACCCGGCCTGAGCCGAGCACTGGGGATTCCTGCCCCACACCTGGGGACACTAAGGCCCTCAGTTGCATCTCTGATAACAGCCTAGACAGAGGAGTTTCCCTCTAGTGCAGAGGAGAGAGGCTACCCCGACTGAGAGGGGCCCTCTCTGCCTTTTGGGGTGCTTAGTTTGGCAGCTCCACCAAGAGGGCTGGGCCCGCTGCCCCCACCACCGAGGCCGGTGGAGGTGTCCCAGGAAGACCTGGCCTGGTTGCCAGGAAGAGTCAAGTGATGGGTGGGTGGGTCTCCAGCCCAATCTTCAAGGCCTGCTGGGCTGACACCAGGGGGAGACCCAGACGCAGCACCCCGTGGGTGGTCAGCTGGGTCCTTGCCTGGCTTCCAGTCCAGTTGGCAGTGACAGGAGATGGCTGAACGACCCCGGTGGGCCCCTCTAGTGTCTGCTCTGGGAATAGCAGCTGCATTATGGATCGGGGCCGGGTCCAAACCCCTCAAGGCGTTCAGCCTGCATGCCTGCACCCCTGGGCACCCCTCTGAGGATGGACGCAGGGCTGGGCAGGTGGCTAGTGCTCCCCATGGGGCAGCTTTAGGCTCAGGCCAGCCTCTCACTGTCACCTTTACAAACAGGCCCAGACAAGAGGCATGGCATGTGTGCGGGGTGCCAAATGTGGAGCTCCAAGATCCCCTGGCTTCCCAGGAAGAGAAAGGCCCCATACCCACAGAGCCCCCCACCCCGAGGTCCAGGCCCCCCTTCTTTGGCCCTGATGGAGCTCAGTGCACCCAGGCCTGCCCTGGCCCAGCGGGCACAGGCTGCTCGCTCAGGCCCAGACGGGGACCGGGCTCCCTGCGCCTGCTGGTCATCCGACTGAACACCCAGTGTGCTGTCATCTGGGAATCTGGGAGCTGCCCCCAGACCAAGCCCAGGTGTTCTGGGATTGTTCCCTGCCCCCCGGCCTCCCTCTGCTCTATCTTCTCTGCCAGCCATGTAGCACGGGCAGGTTGGGACGCGATCACTGGGCTTGCTTGGAGCCTGTCTGCTAGGGCTGGCCAGAGGCCTGCCCTGCCACCTGGTGCCAACCCTGTGGACATGTCCCCTTCTTGCATCACCCCCCGCTCCCCTTTGCCAGTGTCAGGGGCATAGCCTGTGAGGCTGAGCCTGGTGTGGGGGATAGGGCTAGGGAGCCAGGGGAAGGCGATTTCCTCCACACCTGCACCCCACTCCTCCCCTCTTGGGTTGCCCTGCATACACTCCCCATCCCCCAGGGAAGCCAGCTGGCCCTGCTGGCTTTTCACCCCTAAGCCGACTCCGCCACAGGTGGATGCCTGAGCCATAGAAACTCCTAAGTTATGCGCTGAGCGCGGTGTTTGCACGTATGTGTTGGCCCGACTTTGTTTTATCCTTCCTGGGAAAAGTTAGGTCTGGGCCAACTGTGCCCTCCCATTTCACCTGCCCCAACTCCTGCCGCCCTTAAAGGCCCCGGCAGACAAGGAGAGAGAAGCAAGGAAGCCCGGGGCTCTGTGCACAGGGGATGCCCAGACAAACTGGGTAAAGCCCTTGCCCTCAGGGCGCTCATGCTGGGGCATGTGTGTACAAACATGCAGCCTCAAGGACCAGACAACCGTCCCCAAGATAGGGGTAAGGCGAGTTGGTGGGGGACAAAGTGTGTGCAGGGCTAGGCGGTTGCCCACGCCCACGGAATGGGTTGAGATGGGGCGGATCCATGCAGAGGCTCCGAACTGCCCACGACCCCAGAGGCATGTCGGCCTGGACACCCAGCTTTGCATTGCCAGGCTTGGGGTGGGGGGCACTGAGCTTGACTAGGCAGGCCTGGAAATGAGCCAGGGCCTTGCCTCTCTCTGCAGGTGCACTGGCCTGCAGGCCCCAGGAGCTTGGCCCGGGCGATGCCCATCGGGCCCCCCGTGCCCGAGGGGAACGTCGCAGACACACCATCACCAGCGGTGTGGACTGTGACCTGGTGAGTGAGGGCTCTGGGGGATTCTCCAGCTTGCCTGGGATTGCACTTGGCCCCCACGCTTGGTCTCCTGGACCACCCCTCCGCCTGGGAGGTAGCAGCCAAAGCTGGGTCCCAGGGGCTGGAATGTCAGTTAATTACCAACATGTCTCCCCGGCGGGCTTGAACCCGCTTGAGGGATGGCTCAGGGCCAGATGAAGTCCTTTAGAGAGAAGCAGCCTGGGTGAGCCGGGGCATGTGGAGTGGGCACGGCCCCTCCCCAGAACGGCTTCATGACCTCCCCTTCGCCAGGTTGGCCCAGCTCACCGGCTGCGTGCACACCGCTTGCCCGAAGGGGCGCTGCTGAGCTGGGGAGTGTTGCCTGTGTGCCCCAGGGGCAGGCTGCGTGGAGGGCCGAGGGAGGGCCGTGTTCTGGGGGGCTGTGGGGCGCAGGGTGGTCTGTGGGCCGTGGCTCCGCACGCACACACAGAGACCCGCGCAGTGAGCACGGTCTGCGTGCTCACTCGCACGTGTGCCCCCCACGGGGCAGCTGAAGCAGATGCGGGAGCTGGAGCAGGAGAAGGAGGTGCTGCTGCAGGGTCTCGAGTTGATGGCGCGGGGCCGTGACTGGTACGGGCAACAGCTGCAGCGCGTGCAGGAGTGCCAGCGCCGTCTGGGCCAGAGCAGGGCCAGCGCCGTGAGTGACGCCGCCCGAGCCTGGGCTGTCCCTGTCCCCAGACCCAGCAGCACCCCCGGGGTGGCACAGGACGGCCCTATTCCAGGGCACATTCCCTCCCCCAGGGTGCTGGGACCCCCCACACACACCCTGGGGCAGAATCCCCCGCCGGCAACACCGAGGGCTCCCTGTCTGCTCCAAGCAGTCATCTGGGGGGACAGAAGCGCCACCGTGAGGACCCCCCTCAAGGCACGGTGGCTGATCTTTGGCTGGTCCTGCTCGCTGACCGTCCCCTTTCCTGCTCTCCTCCCAGGACTTTGGCAGTGAGGGGAGCCCCCTCCCACTGGGCCGGCTGCTACCCAAGGTACAGGAGGTGGCCCGGCGCCTGGGGGAGCTGCTGGCTGCAGCCTGCGCGGGCAGGGTGAGTGCCCCCCAGGCCGCCCAGCCCCCGCAGAGGGCCCGTGCCCAGCGTGGCGCCACCCCTCACCCTGTGCCCGGGAACGCCAGGCCTGCCTGACCATGCCCTCCCGTAGGCTCTGCCCTCGTTGTCCTCGGGGCCCCCGGGCCCGGCCCCGGCCCCCGCCTCGCCCTCAGCCCCAGGCTGGCAGCAGCAGACCATCCTCATGCTGAAAGAGCAGAACCGGCTCCTCACGCAGGTGAGGAGCAGGGAAGGGTGGGGGTGGGGGTGGGGGCTGGAGGCCTGGTGGGCCCTGACCGACTTCCCGCCTGCCCAGGAGGTGACCAGCAAGAGTGAGCGTATCACACGACTGGAGCAGGAGAAATCTGCCCTCATCAAGCAGCTGTTCGAGGCGCGCGCCCTCAGCCAGCAGGATGCCGGGCCCTTGGACTCCACCTTCATCTAGCTGGCCGTGGGCATGGACACAGCCCTTAGGGCCTGGCCTGGCCGTCAGCCCAGGCAGGTACCTCTTTGAGCCCCTCTTAGGCTGAAGACCACCTGACTGGCCTGGACACAGGTTTCTCCCTCTCTTGCATTCTGGGCTCCCCCAGGCCCCCCAGACCCCGTCAGCCCCAGGTGGAGCCAGCGGGTGGGCTGTGGGCCAGAATGTGCCGTGGCCCCGGACACGGACTGGGTCCCAGCCTTCATTGTGCTGACATAGCGTGAAGCTGCTGCTGCTGCCGTCAGTGGACAGTGGGGGGCCCCCCATGTCTACCAGATCTCAGGCAGCTCTGGGCAGGCGGGGTTTACGCTGGCCTGTCCTCTCCGACCTGGGGTCTCCAGGGAAAGGTACTGGACCCACTAGGCTGCACTTCCGGCTGCGGCCAGCAGAGGGTGCTCGTGCACGACAGCCAGAGCCGCCTGGCAGCGGCCACTGCGAGGTCTCCCCTGGGGAGGGCTCTGTCCCCACGAGAGATGTCAGCATGGGCCCCCCAGGGGTGCCCCCCAAGGTTCCTTGTAGCCCACACACCCACACCGGGGCCTGCCCCACATGATTCAAGGTTCCCAGGTATAGGAACCCCCCACACCCTCCCTGTCCCCCCCCCAGCTCGGTGTCAGACTTGGGCCGGTTCAGCCACAGAGCAGGAAAGCCACCGGGTCCAGGAAGAGACGAGGCAGGGTCCTTGTCAGGGACAACTCCCCACCCCTGCACCAGGCCTCCCCCGAAGGGGGAGCCTCCACCCCACAGGGACTTGCCTCCCACACCGAGGACATGACATCACTGTTGGGTTGTGCGGTGGGGGGGCCCCAGGCATGGGGCGTGAGACCCCATCAACCAGGAGAGTTTGGGCACGTAGACTCCCACAGCCCTGGAGGGTGCCGGCGGCAGAGGAGGGGTCCGGGGTGAGGGTGGCTGGCTGCCCCCTGTCGGCCCCAGCTCTGAGTTCCCCACGCTGGGCTTGCAGACGGTGAGGGGGATTGTCCTGGGTCAGGCCCAAATCTGCGCAGCATGCAAGCTGCCCTCCTCGGAGGGTGGGGTGGGCTCTTCTGGAGAGCCCAAGAACCCCCAGGTCTAGACCCACGCAGGCTCTGTGGGAGGGGAGCCAAGAGAGGAATGGGTCTTGAAGAGAAGACAGGGCCCCCAGCACCCACTGGGACATGCAGAGCAGTGCCACCCTGGAGAAATCCTCCCAATTGACAGTTTGGGACCTACCCACCAGGAGTTCTTGGATCTGCTCTCCCCCACTTCCGTCCCACGTCCTCCACACCTGACCCTGAGCCCACCCTCTCACTGGGAGTCTCTGCTCACAGGTTCTCCAAACGCAACCCGTGACATTTCCAAAACTGAAAACTGTACCCCGCCCCCCAACCCACTCTTGATCCTCCTGTGACCCTATTGCTCAGGGCAGCCCCTGGGCTGAGCCTCTACAGCCTTTCCCAGGTCCTGCCAGGAGCTGGGCTGCAGCCGGACGGCCAGCCTCCTACCTCTGGTCTTTGCAAATGGTGTTCCATCTGCTAGAACACCCCCTCCCCGCTTCACCTTGCTCACCCCTACCCAGCCCTCCACGACAGAGCGAAGGAATCTGAGGAAGCCATTACAGTGAGGAGGCAGCCGTGTCCCCTGGGGTGTCTGCCCCGCCTGGAGGTTCTGCATTCCCTCTGCTGTCTTCACATGAGACAACACGGTGTCCGCCCCAGCTGTCTTTCACCAGGAGACCTTCCTCAGGAAGCGCCACCTCACTGCAAGATGAGCTGGCTACATGGAAGGCAACTCAGGGATAGAACCCCCCTCGTCCTCGGTGCTCTACCCAGGCTGTAAACACATGTCCTCTTTGTTTGCAGTCTGAAACCAGGCTACCTGTGGGCCCTAGACACCTCCAGGGAAGAAGTTTAAGTGGCCCCAGGTTGGCAGGTCCCGGTCAGGTGGCAGAAGCAGACCCATCCTCTGCAAAGCACTAGTGACATTTGGGGCTAAGTCAGGGGCGGGGGGTGCTGTCTTACGGTGTGAAGTTGATGTTCACACCCTCAGTTGTGACAACTAAAATGTCTCAAGAGGTTGCCAGATGTCCCAGGAGTGGTGGTGGTAGAAACATCGTCCCTGATTGAGAATCACTGCCCCAGTGATTTCATGTAGGTCAAGTCCCAAGGAAAATGAGCACCTCTACGTTAAAAAGCTTCTTCACACACACCAGGAGTGCACCCACCACGACAGCCAGCAGAAAGAACAGATTCCGCAAAAATTTAAGATATTGGAATTATCAGAGAATATACAATAACTTTTATATGTCTGAAGAAATAAAAGATTCTTGAAAATATAAACAAGGAATAGTCTTTATAGTTTCTTATTCTGTGAAAGCATAAGCTTTTGGTCTATAAAGATGAGCAATAAAGCATGAAAAAGCAAACAACCTATAGAAATAAAATGGAAATGAGAACCTCAAATGGACTAAGCTTCCGATGAAAATTTTCAGCTGCAGAGTTAGTGAACCAGAAGAGCTTAGGAAGTGATCCAGAACACAGCCCAGAGTCAGAACAAGAGGCGAGGGTCACTCATCTGGTTGCATTTCCTAGAAGAGGACAAGGAAGGGGGAGCTATATGATGATAAACTGGCTTTAAGTTTCCCCGAATTGTCTGAAAACCTCCGTTCTCTGATCCAGAAATCCCAGCAAATGCCAGCCAGGCTGAATAGGAAGAAAGGCACATTCTCACAAGATCATGAAAGAATCCAGGGAGGAAAGCAGTTGCCTACCAGGGAGCTCATCAGAGGCCCGGGGGAGAGGAAGGCGACGGCCAAGACAATGTAACCACCAACACACAAGGCCAGACCCAGGGAAACCCTTTCAAGAATGAGGGTAATATAAATAAAAACATTTCCTCCCCCCACACCCCGAAATACCACCCACAGGACTTCACTAAAGAAAATTCTGGAGGAAGGACTTCAGAAAAAAGGCAGAAGTCAAGAAGGAGCCCTAAATAAGGATGAGCTATATCTACTGCTGCAGAATGAATTAACTTGAGGCGCAGTGGTTTAAAGCAATAGGTCTTTTCTTGCTGTTTCTGTGGGTGAGGAGCTCGGGAGCAGTCGCACTGGACGGTCCGGCTTGGAATGTCCTGTGGCCGCAGGTGAGGTGTCTGCTGGGGCCACTGTCTCCAAAGGGCCGGCTTCCAAAATGGCGCCCTCACGAGGCAGCTGGTAGAGCACCTGGATTCCTTGTCTCCGTGTCCTCGCAGCGCTCCATCTGCTTCCCCTAGAGCAGATGACCCGAGAGCGCCTCTGCGAGGACCTTGGCTCAGGAGTCACTGAGTCACAACGTCACCTCTTTCTTACCTCTGATGCTTAGAAGCCAGTCCTCAGTCCAGTCCTTTCTCAAGGGGTGTAGGAGGGGAATCAGGCACCACCTTTTCAAGGAAGGAGAATCAAATAATCTGTGGACGTATTTTAAAGCCAATCAAAATACATCATTAAGTCTAAGCCAACATGGACTATATACACAAGAGTAGTAATAATAGTAATCGTGCTAATGGGGGGACCCAGGAGAGAACTGAGATCATGTAGAAAGGGCACGCAGGTAGGGGAGCCTGGAGCTGAGGCATTCTTAGTGCTCGAATTGTTCACAAGAAGGGAAAAGATACTCACTTTAGATTTCGTTAAGTATGTATATTAGGGGCGCCTGGGTGGCTCAGTCGGTTAAGCGACTGCCTTCGGCTCAGGTCATGATCCTGGAGTCCCGGGATCGAGTCCCGCATCGGGCTCCCTGCTCGGCGGGGGGTCTGCTTCTCCCTCTGACCCTAACCCCTCTCATATGCTCTCTCTCATTCTCTCTCTCTCAAATAAATAAATAAAATCTTTAAAAAAAAAGTATGTATATTAAAATAACTAGGAGAGTCAGGTAAAATAGTGATTATCCAGCATACACCTTCCCAAGAACGGAGGGGCAGGTGCACAGGGTAAGAAGAGGAAAAAGTTCAGTCTTAGAGAAAAACACAATAAGGTGATGGAGATATGTTGGTAATCACAATGTATGTGAGTGGACTCAACTCTAGTTTATTTTTTTTTTAATTTAAATTCAATTAACACAGTGTATTATTGGTTTCAGCAGTAGAGGTCAGTGATTCATCAGTTGCATATAATACCCAGTGCTCATGACGTCATATGCCCTCTTAATGCCCATCACCTGGTTACCCCATCCCCCACCCACCTCCCCTCTGGCAACCCTCAGTTTGTTTCCTTTTTTTTTTTTTTAAAGATTTTATTTATTCATTTATTTGACAGAGAGAGAACAAGCAGGGGGAGCGGTAGAGGCAGAGGGAGAAGCAAGCTCCCCGCTGAGCAGGGAGCCTAATTCAGGGCTCGATCCCAGGACCCCAGGATCACGACCTGAGCCAAAGGCAGACGCTTCACCAACTGAGCCATGCAGGCGTCCCCATTTTCAACTTCCGGAGGAACCTCCATACTGTTTTCCAGAGTGGCTGCACCAGCTTGCATTCCCACCAACAGTGTAGGAGGGTTCCCCTTTCTCCGCATCCTCGCTAACGTCTGTCGTTTCCTGACTTGTTAATTTTGGCCGTTCTGACAGGTGTGAGGTGGTATCTCATTGTGGTTTTGGTTTCTATTTCTCTGATGCCGAGCGATGTTGAGCATTTTTTCATGCGTCTGTTGGCCATTTGGATGTCTTCTTTGGAAAAATGTCTGTTCGTGTCTTCTGCCCATTTCTTCACTGGATTCTTTGTTCTTTGGGTGGTGAGTTTGGTAAGTTCTTTATAGATTTTGGATACTAGCCCTTTATCTGATATGTCATTTGCAAATATCTTCTCCCATTCTGTTGGTTGTCTTTTGGTTTTGTTGACTGTTTCTTTTGCTATGCAAAAGCTTTTTATCTTGATGAAGTCCCAATAGTTCATTTTTGCCCTTGCTTCCTTGCCTTTGGAGATGTATCTAGCAGGAAGTTGCTGCAACTAAGGTCAAAGAGGTTGCTACCTGTGTTCTCCTCGAGGATTTTGATGGATTCCTGTCTCACATTGAGGTCTTTCAACCATTTGGAGTCTATTTTTGTGTGTGGTGTAAGAAAATGGTCCAGTTTCATTCTTCTGCATGTGGCTGTCCAATTTTCCCAACACCATTTGTTGAAGAGACTGTCTTTTTGCCATTGGACATTCTTTCCTGCTTTGTCGAAGATGAGTTGACCATAGAGTTGAGGGTCCATTTCTGGGCTCTCTATTCTGTTCCATTGATCTATGTGTCTGTTTTTGTGCCAGGACCATACTGTCTTGATGATGACAGCTTTGTAATAGAGCTGGAAGTCTGGAACTGTGATGCCGCCAGCTTTGCTTTTCTTTTTCAACATTCCTCTGGCTATTCAGAGTCTTTTCTGGTTCCATACAAATTTTAGGATTATTTGTTCCATTTCTTTGAAAAAAGTGGATGGTATTTTGATGGGGATTGCATTGAATGTGTAGATTGCTCTAGGTAGCATTGACATTTTTTTAAAAGTTTTATTTATTTATTCATGAGAGACAGAGAGAGGCAGAGGGAGAAGCAGGCTCCCCGCGGAGCAGGGAGCCCGATGCGGGACTCGATCCCAGGACCCTGGGATCATGACCTGAGCCAAAGACAGATGCTCAACCATCTGAGCCACCCAGGCACCCGGTAGCATAGACATTTTAACAATATTTATTCTTCCAATCCATGAGCATGGAACGTTTTCCATTTTCTTTGTGTCTTCCTCAATTTTTTTTTTTTTTTTTTTTTTGTGAGCATTCTATAGTTTTCTGAGTACAGATCCTTTGCCTCTTTGGTTAGGTTCATTCCTAGGTATCTTATGGTTTTTGGTGCAATTATAAATGGGATCGACTCCTTAATTTCTCTTTCTTCTGTCTCATTGTTAGTGTATAGAAATGCAACTGATTTCTGTGCATTGATTTTTTTAAAAGATTTTATATATTTATTTGAGAGAGGGAGAGTGAGAGTGAACACGAGAGGGGGGAGGGTCAGAGGGAGAAGCAGAATTCCTTCTGAGCAGGGAGCCTGATGCGAGGCTCAATCCCAGGACCCTGAGATCATGACCTGAGCCAAAGGCAGACGCTTCACCGACTGAGCCACTCAGAAGCCCCTGCATTGATTTTATATCGCCACTCTGCTGAATTCCTATATAAGTTTTAGCAATTTTGGGGTGGAGTCTTTTGGGTTTTCCACATAGAGTATCATGTCATCTGTGAAGAGTGAGATCAACTCTAGTTTAATTGTCACATTGGAGTTTTAGAAATTTGGATAGCTGTTTTAAGAGACAGACCTAAATATGGCATCAAAAACAAAAACAGGAAAAGCTTGAGCAGTTGTATTAATATAAAACTAAAGAGATTCTAAGGCAAAAGACATTACTAGTGATGAAGAGAGTAAGTTCCTAATAATAAAAAGCTTACATCACCAGGGAGATACAATAACCCTAAACCTGTAATCACCCAATAACAGCCTCAAACTATGTAAAATACCAAGATGCAGACATGTCACTGAGGAAGATACACAGATGACATGTATGTACCTAAAAAGCTGTCCCATGGGATTAGCCATTAGGAAAATGGGATACGTGAAATATTGCACCCCAAACGGAGCTGCTAAAATAAAAACCCATGGTGACACCATTTGCTGGCTAGTAGGTGGAGAAATGGAATTGCTTGGACATTGTTGGTGGGAATGTCAAAAGATACAGCCATTCTGGGAAAGAGTTTGGTAGTTCCTTTTGAAACTAAAGTTAAGGGGCGCCTGGGTGGCTCAGTTGTTAAGCGTCTGCCTTCGGCTCGGGTCACGGTCCCAGGGTCCTGGGATCGAGCCCCACGTCGGGCTCCCTGCTCCGCGGGAAGCCTGCTTCTCCCTCTCCCACCCCCCTGCTTGTGTTCCCTCTCTCGCTGTATCTCTCTCTGTCAAATAAATAAATAAATAAAATCTTTAAAAAAATAAAACTAAAGTTAACTTACCAAATGCGACAGCTAGTTAATTTTGTGTCACCCTGGCTGGGGTATGGTGCCCAGGCGTTCGGTCAAACACCTATCTGGATGTTGCTGTGAAGGGTTGCATTAGATACGATTCACATTCCCATCAGTAGACTCTGAGTAAAGTAGATCACTGGAATCTGGGTGGGCCCCATCCAATCAGTTTAAGGCCTTAAGAGAAAAGGGCAAAGCCCCTCAAAGAGGAAGGGATTCTGCCTGCAGATGCTGTTGGACTCAAGACTGCAACACTGAGCCCCGCCCCACCCACCGAGTCTCCCACCTGCTGACCTGCCCTGCAGACTTCAGACTTGCCATCTCCCACAACTGCGTGAGTCAGCGCCTCAAAATACATCTTTCCCTCTCGCTCACCCTATACACACAGAGCCTGTATGAAGCATCCTAATACATGACACAAGCCAGCAGTTGCATTCTTGGGCATTTATCCCAGATAAATGAAGACACTTTCATGCAGGAACATGTACACATTCATAGCAGCTTTACTGGTAATAGCCCCAAACTAGAAACTACCCAGATGTCTTTGTCTGGGTAACTGGTTGAACAAACTATGGTCCGTCCACACCGTGGGATACAATTCAGCCGTAAAAGGAAGGAGCTGTTGAACGCTCACCAATGTGGGTGAACCTCAAGGAGCCTGCTGAGCGCTGCAAGCCAATCTCAGGAGACATGCTTGATCCATTTATGCAGCGACTGTGAAGAACGGGGTCATGTGAGGGAGTCTTGTGATGGTTCCCTTGAGTTTCTTGGTTGAGGTGGTTACACAGCTTGCACATGTGATGAGGCCTCAGAGGGCCACACGCACACGCAGGCAGGGCGTACAACACCGGCGAAGCCTAAATGAGCTCCTAGACGTACCAATGTCGGTTTCTCAGTGTCGCTTCTGGACCATACGGTTGCATGAGGTGTCAGCGCCGGGGACCACTGGGGAGATGGTACAAAGGACACCCACATCCGTTTCTTTGCAGCTTTCTATGGACTCAAGATGAATAGAGAGAGAGAGAGATCTCGATGAGCATACACGTCTCAAGGCTTGTCAGAACAATAAAGAGAAACTGATAAACCCACCATCACGGTTGGAAATGTTAGTAAGACGCCAGGCCTGAGTGTTTTGCAGGCAAGTTCTACCCATCAGGCAAGGAAGGAAGAGGTAATCCAAATGCTATGTAAATTTTTCCAGAGGAAAACCTTGAAATCCCAACTAAAGAGCTGCCTCACAGGAAAGGGGGAGTTCGGTCTCATCCCATCCCGGCAACATGCTGGTAGCCTTAACAATAAAGCTGTTGTTCCTCAGTTACTCTGCGAGCTCTGGGAAAACCGCAGGCACATCCCACAGAGAGAGGAGAGGACTGCCATTTTATGGAGAAGGAGGAGGAAGTGCGAGGGGTTCCTGAAGCCAGGTCTGCCGAGAGAAGCAGGCATTTGGGGTGATGACCACCGGCGAGCTGCAGGGGCCGATGTCTTCTAGGAGGAGCAGTGCGCGTGCCTCCCTGGTGGGGTCCTGCTGAAATCCTGTGGACTCTGAGGCTTCTTCCCAGGGGTGCGGCCCCCCCTTCTGGCCTCGGGACTCCGCTTTAGCGGGGTTTCCCTTTACTAACGGGCACAGCACAGCTGGAGTGTAGACCCAATGTCATTGCTGTTGTGATCCTGAAACCAGTTCTAAAAATTTCTGTGGAACAGCTCAGGGCTCCAGGAAGAGAAGCAGGGAGAAGGGACTGTCTTCCCAGAGAGGAAGACACACGGGCACTCCCTGGACGGTGCCACGTGCTGGGTGCGCTGAGCTGGAGGACGTGGCATGTGGCCTGGGCCAGCCCTCCCCACACATCAGGGCAGAGAGGCCGGCCCCACATGATCCAGGGCCCGGGACAACCGGTTCTCCACACGGGGGAACGGGGCTCGGAGCCCTTCCCTTGCATCCTACACACAAACCACTTCCAAGTGGATCGAAGGCTGGCCCTGAGCAAAACAGCAAAACCTCCAGAGCACGACTTAGGAGAGTATCTGCCGACCTCATGACGCACACAAGACCACAGAGCAGAAAATGACTAATTCAGAGCTTCCGGGACTTCACGGCTGGAGGATGAACGTCCAGAGCATAAAGACAGACAGTCTCTAGAAACTGGATGAAGACTTTGAACAGACGCTTCGCAGAAGACAAGAAAGACACACTATGCTGTCTCTTCAGTAACTGAGGAAATGCCACTAAAATCTTGGGATTTCATCTTCACCAGCTTCTCAAAAATCTAAAAGCTGCACGATTCCAAACATTCGTAGGGATGCAGCGAAATGAAACTGCGAGCCAGATGGCACCCCCATGCCGAAAACAATATAGGATTTGCTCGTGAGCTGAACACACACATGCACGCAGCCACCAGCGAGCTCCCGGGACCTCGTCCCGAGACTCGCATGCAAGTGCGCAGATGCACACAGCAGCAATCTTAGAAACAACAGCCTGAAGCCAGAGAGCCCTGCGTGCTCACGCATGACGTGTCAGCTTCGGTACAATCACAGTGGAAAACAACGCAGCAGCCAGAATGAACAGGCGACCCCTTGAGCTGTCGACATGGGTGAATCTCAGAAGTCGTGGGAAAGAAGCACGTTACAGAACAGAATGTCCAGTGTATAAAATCGGGTCCACAAACCAGGAAAAGCAACACGATACATTATTTAGAAATGCACGGGTAGGTGGAACATTCTAAAGAAAAGTGAGAGAGTAACAAACACAAAATCCAAGACCAGACCACCCAGGGGCGGCTGACGAGCCGGGTTCCTGTACCTGTTCCTGGGTCGTTATTCCTTCCACGGTACACGTGCGACCCACCCGCTCTCCCGTGAGTCTGCTGTCCCTCACGAGGCAGCGCAGGTTTTTCTCCCTCGTGGGGAGCCTTTGACAAGTCTGCTGTCCTCAAGACAGGGGTGGGTGGGCCTCCCCAGTGCCCACACCATGTAGTTCAGGAGCACCCCTTTCTTACTGCACATGCACAGAGCCTACTATGTCTCTGGTCCACAGGAGGTGCCCAGCAGGTGTTTGTTGAATGACTGAATGAGCACATGAAGAAAGGGAACAGTAA